TTTTTTATGCTCAAACAGCAACATTACAGACTAGCTAAAGTTGAACTAAATCCGTCTGAACGTCTTCCGCGTACCACAGTCAGCGGGAAAAAGTGTTTATTACGTTTGAAATATGCATATTTATCTTACAAAAATGCATGGATTCGCTACAGGAGGCCTTTATTCACCCCCTGGAGCCGTGTGAAGGACGTTTTATTAAGGATGCGCGCGCTTTATTTCACGTCTTCTGAACTGTTGACAACCAACACCCGCTTACCCCCATTGAAAGGCTTGGAGGGGCCAGGACAATTTTTAATATAATTCCGATTGGATTCGTCTGAAAGAAGAAAGTCACATACATCTAGGATGCTTTGAGGGCAAGTAAAACACAGGCTAATTTTCATTTTTGGGTGAACTAACCCTTTAATATTTGTAAATGAGGTGTGTGTCATCACACTCACCCACCACTCATGGTCCTCTTCACCATCCACCACGATCACCTCTCCCTCAGAGAACGTCAGCTCGTCTGGGTTATCAGCTACACAGTTATACATGGCCTTCACACGCTTCGGCCTCTGTTACCACACACGGATCCAGTTTGGAAACAAGAACATGTCAGTTAGTGTCTCATACATGCTAAATGTGCTTCATTTGATCATATTTGGATCAGTGGCGATCCAAATCGTATCCCCCCCCCTTCCCCCGCCACGAGAACCGCAAGTCAGAGACCCCCCTCAGGAGGTGGTTACGTCGCAATATTTTACATATTTACGTTTTAAACCATGAAGGCGAACCAATAGATATCACACAAGCACACTTTTTAAAAACATTTTCAATGAGAAGCAAGCTGATTTTTTTATTATCCTCACAGCACGTCATGCGGTTATTGCAGGGCAAATTAATTGTAATATTAATTTAATAATAAAAGTAACCTAATAACAGTAAGAATGTAACAGGCCTACATTAAATGGAAATGCCAAATGCTCTTAAATTTGCCAATATTTGATACTTTTGACAATATCTCTGGCTAATGTCGATACATGATCTTAGTTTTTTCGACGCAACCCAGCACAGAGAGGTTATCGCGGGGCCGCTCCGCAGTGCGTGCCCGTCCGCTACGCCACTGATTTGGATGCCATAATGGATGATTCCTTCATGAATTGACTAGATTCACTTTTCTTTTTGTGGTTGAACATACCAGGTAAGTTTTCCTGGGCATGTGTGTAGCAGGCAGAGTTTGACCAGTGGTGTTTTGGAGGCCTCCAGGAACTTCTTTAGCTGTTCCGCAAAAACAGGAAGTGACATCACAATTAGCTTTGCATTTTCACTACAACAATGGCCGCTAGGCTTTTATTAAAGTAACATCAACTTACAGTCAACATGGTTTCTCTGACATCTACCTGGTCTCTCGATGGATCCGGAGCGCATCAGTGTGCTTTTACTGAAGGTTTTGTCCGTGCTGCAACCAACAAGAACAGATGTGTTGTGTAGGTTTCTGGCTACGATATTTCGACTCGGGTCATGCTGGTAACACCATTAGTAATCTGAGTGCCCTACTTGTCTGGTCCTCTGGCACTGTGTGCGTGAATGAGGACTTGAATAGGAATTAATGACCTGGTAAAGCAGTATTTCCCTACAGGCGTTTTCACCTCTGTGTTCAGATAAGGACACACTCACCTTTTACTGGAGTCCGACTCGCCAAACACTCTGCAGAAAGTTCTATGCAAGGACTAGCGGCTGTTGTTTTTTCAGAGTGAATATGTACACGTGTTCATGTCAGTGAACACGGGTTGTTTAGTATTCTGACCTTGTAGCCCGGTTGATGCTCTGACCAGGAGGCCCCTGTCCGGGTTTGGGTTGTGTAGTCATGGCCTCCATCATACTGCCAGTTTTATACACAGGATGGGGAGCTCCGCTGGGCACAAGAACTGCACAGAGATTTTCAAATAGCTGCCGTTACATTAAAGATCCTCACAACTACGAAAACAAGAACTTTTCACAGACGTTTCAATATTTTTGTGCAACATTATTGGTACCAGGATGCCCACACCTGAAGTTGCTTGACTTTACAGTTTTTCTTAATTTCTGGATAAAGACTTTTAAAAATGTTTTTGTGTGTTTCATTAATTACAAATAAAATGTAAAAATAATATTATGTAATTAATAACATTACATAAAAAATATATATTATATAGTTATAGCTGATTAAATACTGTAGAGATAAACATAACTAGAATTTACTATATTATTTACTACATTTACAATGTAGTATATATATATATATCATATCAATATCATATGACCCTGGACCACAAAACCAGTCATAAGGGTCAATTTTGTGAAATTGAGATTTTTACATCATCTGAAAGCTGAATAAATAAAATAAAATCAAAATATTGAGAAAATAACCTTTAAATTTGTCCAAATGAAGTTCTTAGCAATGCATATTACTAATCAAAAATTAAGTTTTGATATATTTACGGTAGTAAATTAACAAAATATCTTCATGGAACATGATCTTTATTAATATCCTAATGATTTTTGGCATAAAAGAAAAACCAATAATTTTGACCCTTACAATGTATTTTTGGCTATTGCTACAAATATACCTGTGCTACTTAAGACTAGTTTTGTGGTCCAGGGTCACATTGAAACTGATAGCCACATTTTGTTTTTGTTTTTTAAAATATGTATATTTTTATTATTTTTAATAAATATTCACCCTTTGTTTTGTTTTGTCGGTGTTGTTTTTAAATGCTGAGAACATGTATGTTTTATTTTGGTGCTTGTTTTCGAATAAGAAAACCCAATCAAGTATAAACATTAATACAAATATGATCATCATCATAATTATATTATTATTAATTTTAATATTTTATGAAATCCGATTTCTTTTATAGGGAAACTGTCATTCCTATATTTCTTGATATCTACAGTTTTCCCCATTCTTAACAATTAAAGATACTACTGATATTATTGTCGGCTTTAATCGTTTTTATACAGTTGATTAATAGCTGAATAAATATCATAGCACTGAGCATAACTAGAATAATTTACATTCACTGTAGTAATAATAATAATAATAAAACATTTAAAATATACTGATATTAAATATGCTTGTTGTTGGCTTTTTAAACATCTCATATTATTTCAAAATTTTTGATCCTGAATTAAAACAAAAAGACACATTTGATCATCTACTGATCTGTAATCCCTTAACAGACATGAAATGAATGAAAGTGCAATGAATGAGGGGGGGGGGATCAGGCATGGGTCACTAACAACTTTTCAGCAGTCCAGAATTTCTGAAGCTTGGCACCTGCTATTGGTTCATGAATATTAATATTAACATGAATGGACAGTTAAGTATGGTCAATTCGCAAAAGACAAAAATGTAATTAATGTCATGACATTACAAAAAGCTGATCCAGGATCAATCAAAGAACAATCCGGCCTTAATCTAAATCCACATGAAACAGAATCACTGGCCTGGAGCAAAGCTTCACCCACTCATTCATGTACAGCTAACTCACGGGAAGTGGATGTGCCCCGTAAGGGGGGCGCCGGAGGATGCATGTTGGGGGGGTCAGAGGAAGATCGCTGCCTGCCGGTCAGGTCTAGGGAGCCAGGTTTCCAACCGGGAGATCCCTGAGCCATTCCAGCAAGACCAGACGGCTGAACTGTGGGAAGGAGAGCAGAAGAAAGAGCGACTGCATGTCAGATTCAAAGAGAGCGACTTCAGAATGGTCTACAGGACAGCGCTTTTGCTTACTAGATGACGAGAAAGCTCTGCTATGTCTCTTTTTCTGGACCCTGGAGCTGCTCCAGACCAGCAGAGCTCCATTATGCACCTAATTTCATTAGTGTCTTAAGAATACAGCTAATTGTGAAGTCTGAGCTTTGAGAGCAAAGATCTATGGGACTCTGTTCAGGTCCCAAAAGAGAGAAAAACATCTTGTTCTAACACAGAAATCAGGTTCAACTCTGACGGACAAAGTCTCTTGTTCACTGGCATCTAGCTTGTGTCATCTTAACAGACCTGTAAGGCCTTATAAACAGTCCTGAGAGCGTGTGCACGTGACACCTGCTGTCCAGACTCTGGGAGCGCTCGTATAGGTCAGCATCTTCACACGGCCGTTGCCATGGAGCTCTGCAGTGGAACTGTGTGAGGGTGAGGATTCAAGAGCAGGTCAAATGAGATTTCTGCCATTTTCAGACCTGACATCTGTGAGGCTAAAAATACAGCAGCATATTGTGGCCTGAATGATAATCATACAGGGTCAAACAGCCTTATTGACTTTATGCATTTATGTATGTTTGACTTACTGTAGCATTTGATTAGCTTTTTTGTATATTTAACAAGCAACACTTAATAACAATTTTCATAACATCAAATAATAGAAATATTTTTGAAGTAAATGAATGCAATAAAATAACATTTTTTTCTCTATTTTTTAAGTACTGGAGTTCAAAACGATTGTATTAAAATAGTTAAAAATACAATGAATTAAATAATAATAATAATTATTATTATTATATAATTATAATTAATAATAATAAAAAAAATAATAATAATAATAACAACACATAAATAACAACAGTAATATTCATTATATAAATAATAATTATAAACTATTATTATTATTATTACTACTACTACATTAGGCAACACTGGACTTTTTCATATTTAAATTTTGTCTGGTAGTGTATATGATTACAGTACATAGTTGATCAAATTACAACAGCTAAAATATTAATTCAATAATAATAATAATTTGTAGTAGTAGTAATAGTAGTTAGTTAGGTAACACCTTTTTTTACAGTGTCCTTGCTTTGTTTAATTATGCTGTAACAAGGACACCTTACATTGTAGCCATTAGTTATATTAGTTACGGCTTTTATATTAATTAATAATGATATTCATTTTTATGCCATCCATTTGGTTACAGTTTTTGGATTTCTTTGTTTTATTTTCTTGTATCTTTAATGTAATGGAGGAGGCTGGTCTATTTCTGCCCTCAGCCCTTAATCACTGTTTCTCCAGTTTCATCGTGAGCTGATTGCAATATAAAGTACCTAAATTTCGTGGGGGCAGAGGTGGAGCAGAGGTGGACAGGGCGACCGCTGAGTTGGTGTTGATGATGGTTCCATAGGTCTCGTTGTTGACCAGGTTGGGCACAAACCGCTGCTTGTCTTTGACCATGTCTCGTGCGTCTCGTGCCAGGCTGGCCGGACTGGGCTGAAGGGAATTACTGCCCGGAGTGTAGCAGCTGATGGGCCTCTCGTCCCGCCGGTGTGGACTGGACTATAGACACAATGCAAACACACTGAATACTCACATCAAACATTTGCAACGATTTTGCAGGCCATACAAAAAAATAAAATAAATGATTGAGATGATTATAATGCAGTTTTTTTTTGGTCGATTTAATATTTGGTCAGTCGCAAAATCGCTGAATCTGCATTTTGAACCAATGAATCAGTTCAAATGGTCCAAATGAACAGACTGAAAACTATACATTTTGCATGTTTATTTTACAGTCCTGTTCCTCATGTACATACTATGTACTTATTATAGTAATTACTAGTGCTGCCAAACGATTAATCGCATGAACAATATTTGAGAGAAATAGGCCTTTTGTGTACATAGAAAAAGTCTTAGATCTTTGAGTTCAGCTCATGAAAAATGGGGACACAAACAAAAGTGTTGCGTTTATAATTTTGTTCAGTGTAGATTAGTGTATATAAATGAAAATAATAAAATATAATACTTTCTTGTGTTCATTTACCCAAAAACATTTTTGAAAACATGCCTTGATTATTTTTAACTTGTTTTTTACTCTTATCTTTAATCTACCCTGCTACAATAACCGTTTAATTTAAAACGCTTTTAAATTAAATACATCGTTACTATTAAATATTACTAAATATCTACACACACTAAATGAAGCATAATCTATTAGTAAATATCTACATATTTTATTAAATATCTAAACAAACACACACTTGTCACAAGGCATAATCTAATGCAACGCAGACATTTGATTCTCTGAAGTCTCTGAGTTCCTCCTCACCTTCTCATCCAGATCTTCATCACTCTCGTCCAGGTCTTCATGCTGAAGTCTCCACTCGTACTCCACATGCACATGAGCGTTGAACTTCCCTGCAAGTGCCTGGTTCAGCTAACAGACCGACACAGATCATAAGCCAACACTTCTTAGCAGCTATCGCTCATATTAATCTACAAGGATGTTGTATATATGATATGACGACTCACCAGTTCCTCACACTGCAGGTGTTTGAGTCTCCTGGCGATGTCCAGCGGCGTCTCACCAGCCTCATTCGCTAAACACACACAGAAACACAGAACACAATGGTTTGATACATTTTATAAGCCTGGAAGTAGGGATGCATACTGATACCCGATACTGAGCTCCTGTACTCGTACTCGTACTCGTTAAAATGCCCCGATACCAAACTCTGATACCACACAGCATGCGATAAGTGCCGTATTCAGACAAAGAAACACCGACAACAGAACAACAGACAGCAGAATGGAGTTATTAGAGATTAAGGATGTCTACGAAGTATATGTATGCAATGAATATAATGTTAAAATTCAGTATTAACGCCTGTATAGCTGACGTGTGCGAGCTGATAAGCAAAGCACGCAGAGTGGCTGTCATTAAGGCTAAGGGTTGCCCGCCTAAGTATTGATAGTTGTGTAAATATTGTCATACTAAGAGCTATCTGAATCATTTTTGGTTGACTGTAATCCATTACATACCTTTCTATCAAAGTTATCTAGCATTATCAAGCTGAATTTGTTCTGACACAGTTTAACTCCGAGTTCTTGTCATATTTTATTACCATTTTCTAAACTATAGCGAATAAACTGTTATAATGTGAGAAATGTTGAAGGTGTCTGAATAAATTTTGGTTTGACTGTATCTATTTGATAAATGAAGTTAACCAACTAACATTATACATACTCTTTTTGCTTCTGTACCCAATATTAAAAAAATTTACAAATGCAATAAACATATCGGCAAGTACAAAAAAAATAAAAGTATCGGTATCGGGCGAGTACTGGAAAAAGTGGTATCGGTGCATCCCTACCTGGAAGGATAAGAACGTCCTTCGCATCTTCCCACCACATTCTGTACTCTTGGCTTCCTGTATTGGATTTTATTTTACAGACAAGACAAAGCCAAGTCTATCCAGACAGCTTGCTCACAATAGACGCTGGCAGGGATCCGAGAGAGGAGATTCCCTGGCACAGATTCCCCCTCCCACATACAACCGCTAGGCCACATATGGCTCTGTTATCTTTACTTCCCATTGTTGGTGGACAGAATTACAAACCCTCTCCAATCACCAAACTAACTTCTCCCAGCAGTCAAAGTAAGAACATGGTGTGAGAACATCCACCAGACAAAACAAGGAGTCTCGGAATCCTTAAAGGGACCCCATCGAAACGTCACACCCAAACTTCCTGTTTCAACAGGGACTAAGTCAGGAGATTTCATTTGCTGCATACCGATGTCAATAGAGGCTTTTCCTCTCAGCAGCAGTTTGAGACACTCGCTGTTGTCCGTCAGGCAGCAGTAATGCAGCGCTGTGCTTCCTTTAGCCGTTTGCTTATCCAGGTTTAAACTGCGGGGAGAAATAAACACAATTTTGCCTATTTAGAAAACACTCTATCTCAAGTTTCCATTCCAGCCACAGCTCTGTAGCCTTCAAAACCAGCACTTTTAAATAGCGTTGATCAAAAAAGCCGTTCAATCAGATTTAGTTGTGGGGGAACATCGGTCAGCAAACAAGGGAAATAAACTTGGGAAGGGTGTTCTCGGCTGTCTGGGTCTTGCCTGTTCTGGGTGAGGAAGTCGACGATGTGAAGAGAGGTTCTGTCCACCAGTCTCACGGCCAGATGAAGGGCCGTCTCACCTTGTTCCTACCACAGCAAACCAAACAAGAAAGAAACAAACAAACAACATGACATGTTTAGACTGTTTTACTGTTTGGGTTTGTGCATAAGAGCTCCTCGTGTTTGAACAGATCATAATATTTTGGACATATCGTATGTGGATGAACCATGAGTACACAACACCACGTAACCTTTCACAGAAATGTTGTCTGTTCAGTTTGATACAATGTCAGGTATTCATGTGAAACTAAAATATTTATTACACTCAAAAACACACACATTTTCTGCACAAAAAATACTAATAGTATGGTAACCAAATTTTTCTATGAAATATCACAGTAATGATTACAACTGTAAATTCATAATAAATAAATAAGGGATCGGATTCAAACAGTGTGTTATTTATTATTTTTAATACTTAAAGGGTCAGTTCACCCAAAAATGAAAATTAGCTCATAAATTACTCACCCTCAAGTCATCACCCTAGGTGTAGGAAGCAGCTCCGGGAGGATGACGTATGAGTTCAGCGTTGCGCATGCACCGGTGAGTCTCGTGAAAACCAACGTTTGTTTACAGGAGCAAAGGAAGCAAAGTTCCCTTACTTTAGCAAAGGAAAACCAGTCTCCTCTTGGCTTATATCGAAATCCTCCGACATTCTTCTTTACAAATCCTCGTTTTGTACTTCTAATAATAAGTGACCGGTGTTTTGTTTTGATCTCTCCCCTGCGCTTCCGCGTTCGTCACCAACTCATACGTCATCCGTCCGGAGCTGCTTCCATGTACAACTGTTTGCGCAAGCTACATTAAAGTGATTATTACGTTTTGAATATGGATATTTTTCTTACAAAAACGCATCGATTCGCTACAGGAGGCCTTTGTTCACCCCCCGGAGCCGTGTGAGACATTTTTTTTTATGGATGGGCGCTTTTTATTTAACTTCTTTTGGACCGATGCATGCATCACCCGCTGAGTGGCATTAAGCAGCTTGAAAGATCAAAGACCCTAGGATGACTTGAGGGTGAGTAATTTATGGGCTAATTTTCATTTTTGGGTGAACTAACCCTTTAATGGTTTACTTTGAATGTCAAAATAGAAACTAAATACACATTAAACTAAACAAAAGGATAAATATCTACTGTGATTTCAGGGGATCACATTAAAGTAGTTTTTTTAAATAATAAAAAATATTTAAATTACTTTATTTGAACTTCATTTAAATGTGTGTGTGTATAAAATAATTAATTAATAAATAAATAACTAAATAATGTAGAAATATTTGTACTTGAACTTCATTTCAAAGTAAAAATCTACATTTACCATACAACCACAGGAAAAATATATATC